CATAAAGTTGTCATCTAGGTTTTTTAGGAATATTCTGGCCAAGTTTGTACCAGCTATGTGTTGTTCCCAGTTGATTTCTGGCAAGTTGAAATAAGGACAAGGGCAGTTGACTTGGAAGTGTCCCTTAGTTCCTCAAAGAGTAATTATGACGATGTCATAGTCATCGTCCTGGCCAGGAGGTCTATAGCAGACTCCTGCAATGACATCCACATTACTTGTTTGCCCCTTGATTCTTACCCAGAGGCTCTCAACTGTGCCATTCCCAACTATGAGCTCCACACATTCTAAACCTTCTATTACATACAGTGCCACCCCTCCACCTATTCTGCCCTGCCTATCCCTCCTGAAGAGCCTGTAACCACCCAACAGAGCACTCCAGTCACAGGTCTCATCCCACCACGTTGCACTTACGCCAATGATGTCGAATCTCTGGGCCAAAGCCTCGAGTTCCTCATTTGTTCCTTATGCTGCATGTGTCAGTGTAGAAACATTTCAGGTGTGGTACACTGTAGCCAACACTTCATGAGGCAGATTGAGGGATCGGATTAGTGCTCTACTTAGTGATCTCATTAGTTTTCTCAAGTTTTGGCACACCATCCCACTGCTTATCACTGGCGAGCCTGGCTTTGTCCCTTTATCCCTTCTAAGATAGTTTAAACTTCTGTCAATGAGCCCTGATAGCTCCTGCACTAAAACTTTTTTTCCCTTCTGAAAAAAGGTGCATCCTATAAGGTGTCAGTAGACCACATGTTGAGTAGATCATCTCATGGTCAAAACCCACACATTTTTTTCAATTACACCAACCTTGGAGTCACTCATTGACCTACTCCTATAAATAGGAGTACCAGAGTACTTGTTACCAGAAGAATCAAAGAAATCACTACTTGTCCTCCTGATCCATCTAGCAATTGTCCCAGGGCCCTGAAGTCTCTTTTGATTGCCCTTGGGCTTCTCTTTGTTATTTTGTGACTGCCAGTTTGAACAACCAATAGCTGACAGTAATCAGAGGGCCTTACTGAACTGGAGAGTTTTCCAGTGACGTCCCTTATCTAAGCCTCCAGGAGACAGCAGACTTCCCTGTGAGTTGGGTCCAGTCTGCATATCAAGATCTCTGTTCCCCTTAGTAGGGAGTCTCCTATTACAACTACGCTTCTTTTCCTCTTAACAGAGGAGGTCCTGATGCAGGGTACAGGTGGTGGTGTTTTGGGAGATCCCACTATCCCAGAAGGACTTTCACCCTCCTCATCAGTTGTCTAGCCTTCCAGAGCCTCATACCTGTTGTAGAAGGTCCCCATCCTACCACCTTAATCTTATCTCAAGTTCCCATTATAGTCCAAATTAGTAGACATATCTGGGGAGGAGCTTCAGTGAGCAGTTGCTTCCTTGCATAGTTTGCTACAATGGACAAAAGTATTTCTTAACAATGTTTAAGCCATTAACCATTACAGTCTCTCACAACATCTCAGCTAACAGTCATAGATCTGCCTGTGTCTATGTGTACAGTATCTCAAGCAGATTTCCCACTCCCATCAGGCAAAAACCTGTCAGACTGGTTGCATTTTTACTACATTCTTCAAGCAGTCATACTTTCCTCACTATATTCCTGGATTAAGTGTATTTTAGGCAAGAGTGTAAGAGGAAATAAAAACATGGGGATTTTTCATCCTTCTTTATGTCTTATCCCACTATTTTCACACGCTAATTCTGGCCTCTAAACCAAGCACTACTGAGTCTTGCTGTTTAATCCTTCCTGGATGTTTATAGCCAGAGAGTCCTTGACCAGCCAGATCTAGAGCCTCTCATGTCTGTCAGTGAAGAGAAATTTCTCTTGACTGACATAGATTATTAGTAGTATTGGTATTATTTTAATCATAGTATTACATAAAACTTACATGCAGAGATTCTTCCTTACTCTGCCTCATCTAGAGATGAAAATCCTTCAAGAAACTCTGTGTGGGCATGTGTGTATAGTGTGTGTATATATATATGCAGTATATACACACACACAAACACAAGCAAACTGAATCAATAGCCCTATAATTTTAAAGGCATCTAGCAACCACAAGCACCAACATCCTGTCAAAAGGTGAGCGAAAAATACAGATGCAGAGTAATCTGTGCAAGTGAAGAAGGGCATGGTAAGAAAGCTCAGAGGAGTACCAGCCCAAGTCCTGCAGCAGAAGGGTGCCCCAACCAGCCACCATCTCCCAGACACCCCAGAAAGTGCATCCTGTTGCTTTCAATGATTGCCCATGGTGAGAGGCACAAAGTGGTTTCTCAAGCACCACAGCAAGCAATATTACCAGCTCAGTTGCACAGAAAAAAATTAGCATGCGTGCTCCCCAGCCTGCCTCAGTGGATAAACCTGCCGCCTGTCAGCTCACATCCTCGTAGGCAGGAGATAACAGCTGGGGCATCTGCCGGTACAGGCTGCCTGACAGCACCCTCTCCAGAGGCCTGATACTATTACTGACCACACCTCTCTCTCCACGCACTGAATTAACTTGTTCTGAATGTGTGACAGCTCTGACGACTGCCCACATGGATGCAAGAAGCCAGGGTCACATGCTGTTGCGTGCATGGCCTGTCACGAGCCATGCCACTAAAACCAAACAAAACCTAGTCAAAGGAGATAAACTCCTCCAGACGCAGAGGTAAGAGACTCAACTCATGGCACAGCTTGTGTGGGTTTTGATCAAGTTCAAGGACAGTATCCTTTGACAGGGGATCTGGGTGTAGGCAGGAAGGCACACACGCACTGGAACACACACATGCATGCATACATGTAAAGACAAAAGTGAATGAAGACAGGCTCAGCTGACAGAGCACAGGCAGGAACACTGGCAGGGGCTCAGCTCACTGTCAGCAGTTTCATGATAAAAGGGTCAAAGAAAAAATTTCCAATTCTCCCTGCAAGCCAACATCGAAAAGGAAAAAATGTGGATGTCTTTCCACTTTGAGGTTCTGGAGTTCTGAATGCACGCAGAAATGAAACTAGGTAGCAGGAAAAGTGAGTTTGCAAAGGAAAATGCCCTGTTAAATTTAGCAGTCAGCCCCTGATGCAGTAGACACCTCTGCTTATGGCACACCTGGCACAGTCTGGCAAACCTAGCAGAAAAACTGCTTAATATTCAACTTTTTTCTTCACCTTCTGTCATGGTTTGAGAACTCCAAAAATCTAATTCCCTAGTCCAAACCCCCTCCCACATCTCAACCCAGTGTGAGATGGTTTCCAGACACTACACGAGACTCAGAATGGGGGGAAAGGGTATATATATATTACAATGACTGTACAAAATAAATACTACAATACATTATATACAATCTTAATTATCTCTACCATGACATAAGTATTTACAATGGATCAAATCTCTTCTCCCCTGCAAATAAAAGTCCAGGAGGGAAGAAGGAAAAGATCCTTTTCCACTTTCAGAGCAGCAGTGTCTCTAAGGCAGCAGGTTCTCTTCTTCTCATGCAGCAGCATCTGTATCTGGATCTCTGCCAGATATAGATGGGGTATCCAAGCCCCTTGGCCCGTCGTCTTCAAGTGAGGGTCTTCTCTTCTGTGGACTGCGTAGCAGGGACAAAACTCACTTCACCACAGTCATATCATGGGGTGTAAGACCCCCATGAAGGTCCCTTCCTCGGGGATTCACCCCTGAGTCAGAACATCTCAGGCGGCTTTCAGTTGAAAGCCTTTGCCTCAAGAGTTCTACCAGAGCTCCTGTGCTCTGTCTCAGGCTGCCAGCTTGGCAGCGGCGGTGAGGGGGGGGACCAAGGTCACCCCCTCTGCATTCCTTTAATCGTCCCAGTCTAGCTTTCCAGGACGCCTGAGGTTCTCAGCTCCTCTCTTTGGTGCATGCTGCACTCTACAACTCCTCTCAAGCCAGAGTCCATCTCCCTCCTCCTAGGAGGGGTCTAAAAGGGATTTTGGGGGGTCTGGTTCAGTTCTTACCCCCAAAACTCTGTGTAGAGCTTAACTCTGCTCCCTCTGCTGCTGGCTCTCATTCTCTTCCTCTCTCTTATTCCAGGAGTTCTCTCTGTGTTGCTGCCTGCCTGTTGTTGCTGCTTCTTCAGTTATCTCTTAGCATTCAGCCACAATCTTTGGACGCTGCTGCTGCTCTCTCTTCTCACTCGCGGTGGAGAAAACTTCTTTAGCTTTCAGCCACAGGTACTTAGCCCAGTCTAACACTGTTCTAAGACCCTGCAGCACCCCCCGCTGGGGGCTGGCGGGGCCCCAGCCCCCAGTGGGGCTGCTGCTGTTTCTCCTCATGGCTCCTACAACATGGCTACTTCTTCTACAACAACTTCAACAACTACCTTCTCTTCCATTCTGCTTGTGATATGCTTATATTTTGCAGAAGCGCTCACTGGGTAAAACCTCAAAACTTCAAGGGTCACCACCCCCTGGGGTTTTACCATTTTATAACTGCAGGGGGAAAAACTGTTTCCCCCACCACACCTTCCTTCAAGAGCCTTTATCCTAAACATGAAGCCCACAGGTGATATGGTTTGAAGCTGGCTCCCTGCCAAGTCTCCAAACCTTACCACCAGAAGTCCCCCCCTCCCAAAACCTCGGGGAGAAGAGGGAGAAAAAAAACTAAGAAAAACCCGAAACGAGAGAGAAACAACCAAAGTGAGATATATAAATATATTTACACTTATATACAATTAAAATATACAATTTCACAAGGGAAAGGGAAGGGGGAAGGGAAAGGGAACAAAACTAAAATAAAATATATAGATATCCCAAGACCCATTATCTAACAACTGAAAGAGTTAGCAAAGAAAATATCTCACTACTCCCCTGGGACAACCGAGAGTCGCTCCGGAACGATCGCCGGCAACCTCTGTCTCCCAAGGTCGGCAAGGCCTAACCAGGCCTCGCTCCCCAACACGGCAGACTCAACAGCAGGGAACCTGCACCTCCAAGCCGCCGGAAGGAAAGAGAGCGAAGGCCTCTCCTCCTCTCTTCTTATAATCTGGCTTACGTAAAAATCGTAGGGAATACTGGGTAAATCTGGACCCTTCCTTGATTACAAACTGGTCACCAAGGAAGGCCTAGCCCAAACCACCACAACAGGCAACTGTGCTCTGATAATACTTTCAAAGAACTCCTACAGAGAACTCCTTTCCCAGGATCTCAGTGAGTTGTACTCTAAAAAAGCGAAAGAGTGGTAGGGCTAAAAACAAACACCATTTGTTGTGTTCTTTTGGTTTGAAGTACAGAAAATGTCCATTGTACTTGCTGCTTACTCTAAAATACCAAGGAAATGTCTTATTCGCTATGAGAAATAAATAACCTGGTTTTATTATAAGCAAATGAACTTAGTAGGAAGATGGAAGGGGGTGGGGTTTTTTTTTAACCAAGAAGTTTTTTTTTAGGCTTACCACAGAAACTGTAAGGTGGATGGTCCTGTCTGGACCTGACGCCAGGGAACCTTTCACAGCCGGGAATAGGGAAAATACATAAAGAAAGATGTATCCTCTCTGCCATGCAGCAGCCTTTGTGTACAGGGGAACCCTCTTGTACAGGTCCAGGGGGTACGTCCCAATCAACCAAGGGAAAGGGTAATACTCCCTCCCGGGTCAGAGAAATTACCTTTTAAGATAAAAAACTAGTGGTCAATGAATATGTAACAGCTTATGTAACTGCAAGAATACAAAAGGCATGATTTTCAAACAGTTGGTGTGCTTTTAGATCCTTGTGATTTTGGAGCACCCAGTACGCTGCAATAAAAAACCTTCTCGTTACACTTTCCTTGTCCTACAGGTATTTTTGCCATCCTTTAAATCTAAAGGAGGAATTTTTCCAACATTTGCCACAAAGGTACTAGGTATTTGAGAGATACAAATTTTTTTTCCTTTTCAAATGAAAACATTCAGCTTACCAAGCATGTTTGATCAATCTGTATTGAAAGCAGTTACTAGAAATAATGTACACTTCGGAAGGCATATTTAGTCCAGCTATGGTCTGTCTGCTTCATATTTCTGCCGTGACACAAAGAAGCCTTCCCACAGTTTAAACATGTAAGTAAAGAGAAGTTACCACTGCTGTATATTACCAACATAGTACAAAACAACTGGAATATGCTACTTTGGCCCACTGACTTTGTTAACATATGGAAAAGGGAGAATAGGTTTAAGACAGGTAGCATGTTATTTTACAAAAACATAATTTTTTATGAGCTCTGCAAACAGAACTTACCCATGGAAAGGGTGTTAGCACAAGTAAATCAGAGTAAATCAGAGTAAATCAAACATTAATTTACGCATTCACCCCATCAGTAATAAAAAATGAGTTTACATGGACACTAATTAACATGTTTAAAAAGCAGCCTTTAATGCAATTAATCTGTAAGTATCAGGGAAGTGTATCACTCAGAGAAAACTGGTTGTAAGAGAGGATTTCTACATTGTTAGTCCCAGGTCAGCAGTGATCAAATGTTAGCCTTTTTCTTTCTAGCTCCTTTTTGGGAACAATCATTGTCTTATTCACCAGAAACAGCATAGGAAACTCAGCTTAATTGGTACACGTTCTAGTATTAACAGGTTCCTGACCACAACTCCCACCTAGAAGCATTAACAGTGGAATGGCATAGGTTTATTTTGCTTTTGTCTGTGCCTTAGTCTTTACTGCAAAACTCCGAAATAAGAGAGCTTTCAAAGCTTTATCTTCCATGAAATACCAAAATATCATTGAACAAGTAATAAACCTCTTTCTACTTATTTAAAAACCATAGTTGGCAACTGAAATCTTGTATTTTTGTGAAAAGAGTGGAATACTTCTTTGCCTGTCGGTGATTTTTTAAGAGCTTAACATGCAAGCAAGCAAGGTAACATTAGTGTTCTTTTACACAAAACCGTCTGGAGTTAAACATTTTCAGTAGTACAGTAGTACAGGCACTTCTAACCACAACAGGCATGAACCATAGTCCAGAGACTTGAAAGTTTTTTTCTGTTGGACCTCTATATATGTGGGGTCTTCCACAAAATAATTTAAAGGAGCAATCCCCTGTTCCACAGCAAGCTGCAATCTCAGGCTAAGGCTAGCCCTAACTTACAAAGAAAGAAAAGAAAATGAGAATTAAGCTACCCTCTTATGTCTATTCATTCACAGGAAGCCTTTGATTTTCAGTTGAAAGTCTGATGAGCAATGAGTCAAGAGTTTCAGAAGTGGAGAATTCTGTTATCATAATTTTTTTTCATTTCTTTTTCTAGGTATTTTGTTCCATAGGCCTAATGAATCGTCATTCATATTCTTGAGTCATCTCTCATTCATCAAGCCTATCTGACAGAAAAAGCATAATTTTCCATTGACCTCCTCAATTTTGACAATCTTCAGACTTCTTCTTGAGTACAATATTCCTTTTTATTTTGAGAGAAAAAATAATCAAAGTTATGTTCCTTAGGATCACATAATGAAAATCCTTTAAAGCCTGGGAACACGAGGATATCTTGCTGAGAACAGTGTAACCAAAACTAACTTAACAAATTTCTCTGTCATCTTATCAATTTGAAATAATCTGGATACTCCTGACCCTTATTTAGCACTGAATCAGTACACAATGTCTGGTCCGTAGGAGAGCTTTAGCACATCACATTTCATAAAGGCAGGATTGCTGCGCAAGACATATACCTTTTTCATCTCTGCTAGCCATTAGCTGGGGATTGCTCTCCACTACACTTCAGGTTCAAAAATAACTTGTGATTTTTACCTTCAAAGGGAATCACCTCACTGCCACTGAGCAGTGACTAATCATCAGGTTATGACTGTCTTTAATTACCAGCTATCAATAAAAGATGTAATTATTGTACAGCCTTAATGTCTAATACTGATACTATGACAGTACTCTGATCAGCCACAATCTCCCACCTACTATGGTTTGCAGATAGAATATATCTGTTACATTTTTGTGTTTGCAATTTTAGAGGCTGTTGACTGAAGCAACTGAGAACTGCTGTCGCCATAGCACCATACAACACATCTGTGAACTGAAGTATCATATAGGTTAGCCTCCTAGTAGAGTGTTGAGAGCACGTGAGAATGACAGTTCAGTGCATCTGTAAACATCAGCTTCTTATTCCTAACTCCAAAGAAGCTGGAACACAAATACATTGCAAAAGGCATCAATCAAAAAAAAAAATCATAATAAAGAATATGCCACTTCTGGACCAGTGATAAGAATAATACTACCAAGAGCTCACATGAAATGTGGAAAAGGTACTGTGGCTACTTATTAAATATATCCCAGTTTCTAGCAAAAAAGGAAGGCATCCCTGACATCAAACCTACCAAAAATGCTGCTCTTCTGCTTCTATGTCCACACAGTCCTCAGCCTTTGCACTGATTCATTTTTTGTGAACATTTTTTGTAACATGAGTTCCACATCCATCCATGTTCTTTTTGCAAATAAATTTGACATAAAAATTGCTTTTTTAATGCTGTGAGATTCGCATTATCAAGGTAATGGTAATTAATCACAATTATACTGTGAGGACTGTAAGCAATGCAATGTAGATCTTTAAATGGGATTTGAGGTGTCACTCTAAACCTGTGCAAGTGGAGACATCTCTACATGAACAGTTACTGCACAGCAAGGGTGGGCTACTGTGTCTCAGCTGCTCAGCATGGAGATCCCTCCATGACAGTTTCACATACATAGTAAAGTTCCTCTTCTTGCTATTATGGGCAGTTGTGTAAGGATTTAGCCAGCAAAAGTCCTAAAGCTGCTAAAAGAGGGCAAATACAATTAATAGTTGCTATATCTACTCAGTTGTTGTCATCTTCCCAGCTAGCAAACCTGTAGGTTACATTACCCTATTAACTTTCTAGTCCTTCAAATCATCTGACCTTTTCCCAGGTGCCCCGTTAAAAGAAATTCACAAGATTTTTGCTGCCCTGATTTCACTGTGTGTTTCATTTTATTTGGGGGAGGGCAATCTCACCTAGGGTTAATTCTCTGCTATCTCAATGAGGCTTAACCTGAAAACTGCTGGCAGGGTACCCACAGTTCCAGTATCCTGACGTTCATTCTTTTTTGGCATAGTTACAGTATGAATACTTTGTAATGCATGACCACTGCATTAACCTAATCAATATGGATGTGGGTTCATATTCCAATTCATTTCGTAATTTCACTTGCCAACATATGGTTTTATGAACATATACTATAAAGCAATTAAGAAACATATAAAAATATACTTTTGACACTTTTACTCATAGCTAAGGACTTTTAAACATCTATGTTTCATTGGATTACATTACAAGCTTAAATATTTCAGGGTTCCCAGGAGGACATCTGAATCCAAAAAACTACTGTAATTTATTTATTCCTAGTAATTAAATTCTCTAGACTTCAATCAGAGTGGAGCTTTATTTTGAACTTCTGAATATCAAAACTCTTTTTGCACAGCTGAATTTTGTTCAGAATCTGGCCTTGATGTAACTAATTTCAGTAAATTAGGCTGAGATAAGGTATGAAAATTTTAGATCATTAAAAAAGGAAGATTATTGAAAAAGAAAGTAATTGTAACACTATTAAATGCCAGCATAAAGAATTCCTAGCATGAAATATGTAAATTTATTCTTATAATAAACTCTGATAGAAAAATACCACAATTCACAAGTGAACTTAGTGTTTGGTCGCATCCAAGCTATTTGAGGCTCGGTAAGTACCAGTGCAAATTTAGCATAATAAAATAAATGGTTAAACAATTCCATTTGTCTCTGGGTTTGTGAAATCAGATCTTTTCTGTTTTCCAAAAACAAGAGAGATTAAAAGCTGTCAATAATGAACACACACATACACAAACACCTCCTACTTCAAAACAGAGACCTACGCCAATATTACATTCATATGTATGGGGTATTCAATTTTCTACCAGTTTTGAGATACAAGATAGAGAAAAACTCCCTAACAAACACCAGTACATCTTTTACAAAAAGAAGATAGAAGAGTTCTGCTCTTTTTCATAGTAATAGATTCCGTATTTCCAGAACCTTATACTGCTTATGCTGTTTTGAAGCTTTGTATCACAGTCAGCAGCAAAGTCCCCTTTCCTCCTGTGCTTATGCTGTTATGTGTATACAATTCATGAAATCTTTACATGTGTGTCCCCTTTTTTTCTTTTGGAAAGCAAAATAAAAATATACCATATTTTCCTTTATCCTCAATGACATATGTATGCATGAACACATATAAGAGGCAGGGTAATTAATTTACCTTGTATCACCTTGTTGATAAATTGGGGACCCTCTCATTATGTCTTGATTATGTCTGCAATTATGTGATACCAATGTTACTTCCACCACCTTTCCACAGCTTCTCTTCTCTTTTTTTTCTCTTTCTGTCTGTCTCTCCTTCTATCCTTAGCTTTTTAATAGCTGATAACCATTTCCTGTTGCACACTGGCTGAGAAAGCTCTCTTAAGTCCCAGGTGCAAATCAATAAGTTATAGTGATTCATTAAAAAAAGACTGTCATCATTATTGTTAAATTATTGCTGTGTCTGAAGAAAGATTCTTCAAGAGCTCAAGGTTTCTTCAGTAATATTTATAATCTGTACTGAACAGTGTTAATGAATGAGTGGGTGTACATTCTGCTGAAATGCAGAGGTATTTGATTTATACTAAGTTCAGGCCTGATTGTTAAAGTTAAATCCATTAAAGCGTCTCAGATCTGCCTTAATGTACTTCTCTGCATACAACAGAGTTTAAACATTACTTAGCTTTTCATTATTGGTTGAATATTTGTCTCTATTATATCATCCTATGATAAATGGTACTTGTGATATTTTGAAAAATAGCACTTTATTAAATCTTCACTTGTCAGAAGACAATATCTCAAAAAAATTATCAGCATATTTGCTAAAAACTAACCAGCTGATGCTAAAAGTGTAAGTAGAAATTCAGAATATTCAATCCTAGTTCATAAAACCAAGATGATCAAGGAAGAAATTAGATTTCAACTTGGGGAAAATTCACAAACAATTTTCATTTGGAAGAATAAAATATACTTTGTTTACCTAAAATGCCACCTTCTAAGTGTCTCCAAGAAGGTGGAATTTTTTTCTCTAGCTCATAATTGCTCTCTCCTGAAAAAAAAAATAAAGCCATTAGTCAAAAGGGTAAAAAGGAAAGACAAGGTAGGGAGAACATGCAGGAAACCATCAAATTCCAGCACAGGTAAGGTACTTCACAGCAATTCTGCCAATGCCACTGAGAATTAAATACACCATCTGACTACAGCATTTCTTCTCATCTACAAGAGTTTTCCATTCATGGTACATCCAAAGCCAGCCCAGGACTGCCAAGTCAGCCTGTGTTGTATTTCTGATGCTGTCTTCATGCAACACTTTTGTTTTTCTTACCTCAATGTTTCTGTTGTTGACTACAATCAGAGGAAGTTGCTCTGTCACTATTCATCTATTCTTTTCAACCCGTTTTGCTGAGGGAGTAAAGCAAAATCAGAGCCTTGTAGACTTGATTTTATCTTAAGGGGAGTGGTCAGCTATTTCATAGAATGCAGCTCATTTGCAAGTAAAAAGTCCTTCTTTTCTGGTACAGGAGACATTAAACAATATAGCTTCTTTCCTTATATTCACAGATAACTTCTAGACAAATATTTAACTCCCTCAAGCCAGCAGCCCCATCCTTGTTCACTCCTCTGAAACATCCTTGGGCTCTGATATTCTAGGCCTCTCCTCTTACCCCCCGCATTTTCTTGCCTAAACTGATATTCAAAAGAGCTTCTTCATCCAAGTACCAAATACCAAAGAGTTTTGTACAGGAGGTTTTTTTGTGTAGTGATACATTATTACCTGCCTGCCACATGCACTAAATAAATCTGAGTAATGTCACTGCTGTGCACAAAATGTTAGAGTCAGATTCAGAGTTGTGCCTTTCCAGCAATGCAAAATCACTAGAAGCACACCTGAAGAATCACTAGAAGCTCCCTGAGGGTTTCCACTCCCTAAGAAACCCATATGGTATATGGAACACTAAGAGCTATAAATTGTCAAAATCTGAGAACAGGTTTACACCTGGAAGTCCCATGCACATGACAAACCCTGGCGACATCAAAGGGCAGCTCCTGCACCTCAGAAAGTGCAAGACTCCTGAGCAGTTTTGCATTGTCCCTCACTTGAAACTCTGTTCGGAAATGCAGTGTAGATCCAAGTGTATAAAAAGCTGTAAATTATTACAATAAGTTTGGAGAAGATTTACAAAGGTTCCACATCAATGAGATTATTTTTGTATTAAGATTTCAAAATTTCCTTGTTCTGTATTCTTATGTTCTGTTCTCCTTGGAGTCCAAGAACTAAACTAATTATTTCAAATAGTCTTGTCAGCACAGGCAGCCTGGGTCTTTTTGTCCGTGTAACTCTGGATTTGGCCAACTTGGAAACATGCCAGTTTGGACTAGCTAAAACCTTGGGTTAGATTTGACCACAGTTTTTTCCAAGGTTAATAGGGAGTTTCCTTTAAATCAGCACTTTATAGCTGATTTGGATATAAAGGGCTATGTCTTTCTTGCTATAAAGAGATTTTCCATTCTTTTAGTATGCTTCTTTCCTTGGGTCTGACAAAATGTGGTCATCTTCAGAGAGGGCATCTGCTTTTCATACTTGAGCAGGCTTTGCTGGCTCCCAGAACTAGCAAGTAAAAAGAGTTTTCATAGAATCATAGAATCAAAGAATCAGCTGCGTTGGAAGGGACCTCTGAGATCATGAAGTCCAACCCTTGATCCACTGCTGCTGCAGTTGCTAGACCATGGGGCTAAGTGCCACATCCAGTCTCTTCTTAAAAACCTTCAGGGACGGAGAATCCACTACTTCCCTGGACAGCCCATTCCAATGTCTGATTACCCTCTCTGTAAAGAAATTCTTTCTAATATCTAACCTAAACCTCCCCTGGCACAACTTGAGGCCATGCCCTTTTGTCTTGCTGATACTTGCCTGGGAGAAGAGACCAACCCCCACCTGGCTACAATCTCCCTTCAGGCAGTTGTAGAGAGTGATGAGGTCTCCCCTAAGCCTCCTCTTTTTCAGGCTGAACAGCCCCAGTTCCCTCAGCCTCTCCTCATAGGACTTGTGTTCGAGTCCCTTCACCAGCCTTGTTGCTCTTCTCTGGACCTGCTCCAGGACCTCAATATCTTTCCTGAACTGAGGGGCCCAGAACTGGACACAGCACTCCAGGTGTGGCCTCACCAGCGCTGAGTACAGGGGAAGAATCACTTCCTTGGACCTGTTGGCCACGCTCTTTCTGATACAGCCCAGGATGCCATTGGCCTTCTTGGCCACCTGGGCACACTGCTGGCTCATGTTCAGCTTCTTGTCAATCCAAACTCCCAGGTCCCTTTCTGTCTGGCTGCTCTCCAGCCATTCTGTGCCCAGCCTGTAGTGCTGCATGGGGTTGTTGTGGCCAAAGTGCAGGACCCGGCACTTGGCCTTGTTGAACCTCATCCCGTTGGAATTGGTCCAACTCTCCAACCTATCCAGGTCCCTCTGAAGAGCCCTCCTGCCTTCCAGCTGATCAACACTCCCCCAGCTTAGTGTCATCAGCAAATTTACTGATGATGGACTCAATCCCCTCATCTAAATCATCAATAAAGATATTAAACAGAACTGGGCCCAACACTGATCCCTGGGGGACACCACTAGTGACCAGCCGCCAACTGGATGCAGCACCGTTCACCACCACTCCCTGGGCCCAGCTCTCCCAACCCAGCACAGAGTGCCCCTGTCCAAGCCGCGAGCTGCAGCTTTTTCAGGAGTATGCTGTGGGAGACGGTGTCAAAGGCTTTGCTGAAGTCCAGATAGACGACATCCACAGCCTTCCCCTCATCCACCAGGCAGGTCACCTGATCATAAAAGGAGATCAGGTTGGTCAGGCAGGACCTGCCCCTCCTAAACCCATGTTGGCTGGGTCTGATCTCTTGTCCATCCTGTAGGTGCTGTGTGATTGCGCTTAGGATGATCTGCTGCATAACCTTGCCAGGCACTGAGGTCAGGCTGACGGGCCTGTAGTTTCCTGGGTCCTCCTTCCGGCCCTTTTTATGGATTGGCATGACATTCAAGAGATACAGGTTCTCTATTGCAAGCAAAAGGGGCTACTTGCAGATGAATGTTGGTTTTTGATAGTACCATGGACCCTGCTGTAATCTGCTCCCAGAGAAGATTCCAGATTCTGCAAAGTGTTGTCTCTGCTTAGTGGCAATATAGTGATTAGACAGAATTGATAACTGAATGTAGATTACTCAAAATCAGTTCTTGTCACACAAATGGTATGCGTTAGAATCTGAAAATGTCAGAAATTCCCATTAAAACACCATGCTTTCATAAATAATAACCCTGAGACCTGTAGATATATTTTCTTTTGATTTACTTCTTTGAAGGAGGTTACAGAAATATTCATCATGTAAACTAAGTAGTATAGGTGTACATGTACAAAAATCTACGAACACATAGTGGTACTTTCTTTTTCATTGTTTTTAATTCTATCTCAGCATTTTCAGATTTTGAAACAAAACGCCAAAAATAAAATGGAAAAAAAAAGTAAAAAAACTCTTCATCTCTTACTGGATTTCAGGACAGGTAATAATTTTTATTTTTTTTTTTATTACAAGGAATTATATTTTCTGAGCTCATTTCAGTTAGGGGGTGGGGAGAAGGGATATATAATGTCCATGTTACATTAAAAAAGTATAGATGCTGACATTCTTACAGACAGCCTTACTGGAGGAGTCAAAAGCAAATGGACTTTTGGGAACACAACCATTTTTTCCCTGTACATTGGGTTTACCTGGCAAGGTTCTGGTAGCAGGGGATCTGCAGGGATGGCTTCTGTGAGAAGCTGCCAGAAGATTCCTCCATGTCCAACAGAGCCAGTGTCAGTCAGAGCCAAGTGGTAACCTGCCACTGGCCAAGGCTGAGCCCATGAATGATGGTGGTAGTACTTCTGGAAGAACATATTTAAGGGTGGGGGGGTGGAAATTGCTGTGCAGCAGCAGTCAGAAGAGAAAGATTATGTGAGAGAATCAGCCCTGTAGACCCCAAGGTCACTGTAAAAGGAGGGGAAGGAGGTGCTTCAGGTACCAGAGCTGAGATTCCCCAGCAGCCTGAAGAAGCACCATGGTGAAGACCATGGTGAGACAGGCTGTCTCCCTGCACCCATGGATGTCTCTGAGGTAGCAAATACCCACCTGCAGCCCACAGAAGACCCCACATCGGAGCAGGTGGACAGAGCTGTGACCCTGTGGGAAGCCCATGCTGGAGCAGGCTCCTGACAAGACCTGTGGCCCCATGGAGAGAGAAGCCCACAGTGGAGTAAGGAAAGAATGTGAGGGAGGAGTCCTCCCACTGAGGAGGAAGGAGCAGCAGGGATGTCTGATGAACTGACTGTAACCACTGTTCTCTGCCTACCTGTGCTGCTAGGAGGATAGAGGTGGAGAATTCAGGAGTGAAGCTGAGCCCAGGAAGAAGAGAGAAGTGGACAAAGGATATTTTATTTCTCATTACCCTGCTCTGATTTGATTGGTAATAAAATCAAATTTTTTCCCTGAGTTTGTTTTTTCCATGACAGTAATTGGTGAGTGATCTCTCCCTGTTCTTACCTCAATCCATGAGCCTTTTGTTGTATTTTTTCTCCCCTGCCCAGTGGAGGCAGGAAGGAACAGAGCCATTTTGGTAGGCACCTTGTGGTCAGACAGAGTCAAACCACCACATACTGCTAGCTCTGTTGGCTGACTTCTGCATCTTGCTTTTCAGTAATTAGCACAGCAATTTCATACCAAAGGTGCCAGGGAGTTTTGATGTTTCTGAGACATATTTGAGACCTCCTGAACCTGCCCCAAATGTCAGATCAGCCTTGATTATTAGGTTGGATGGTCACACCACCCTATTCACACTTCCCAGATCATCTGTCAGTGGGTGTACGTCTAGGAAATCCTCCTCTGACTACAGCCCAGGACTTTAGAGTTTGCCCAATTCCATCTTAATTCCCAATCTTAGGATTATCGCTTTGCCAGTTAAAAAACAGAGGTGTCTGTATCTATCTTCTTACAAACCAATGGTATGAGAAAAATCAGGTATGTCTTGTTACAACATTAGTGATAGCACTTCTTAAACAAATTATACCTTTATGAAATTAACTTCTTATTACTAGCAATAATTCAGATCTGTTTGCAGTGATGTAGTGGAGAAAAGTGAAAGCACAGATGTCAAGAATCACGATCCAAGCAAAAAACATTATATAAAACCTGAACTATTCTCTCACCCTTGTAGAAGATCCCTCTAAGAGAATGGTAAGGTTCATTAATGAAGAAACCTGTTATGACAAGTTATTTTGCCCACAATTAACTTGCACTGGGAGCAGGCTTTGGCTGTGCTAATTCCCACAGAGGTTGTGAATTACCTATGCCTGGAGGTGTTCAAGACCAGGTTGACTGGGGCTCTGAGCAATCTGGTTTAGTGGAAGGTGTCCCTGCCTATAGACCTAGACAATCTTTAAGGTCCCTTCCAACACTAACCATTCTATGAATTCACAGTTATCAATCTGATGCTCCCACCTAGTGTGCTTCTAGAAGGTACTTTATTTTCACTACCATAACCACACTGGAGCTTCTGCATGTGGGAGGTGTTTTAAAAAAGAGAAACATCTTTCTGGTAGGTATGCACTCTCTAGCTGAACACCTATGTGCCATCTTATGGCTCGAGTTTCCAGTGAAGGTAACAATCTTTCCATTCATCTCAGTGGTAGGCAGACCAGAATTTTAATTATCTTTCTATGGCAAAGAAAACACTTAAGGCTAGTGAGTAACAGGAATATCTCCTACTTCTCTGTGCCCCAGAACTTCCACTATAGTAAATCACCACAATTTGTTTTCCCTCATGATAAAACTCTGCAGAGCAAAGTAGATTTCTTTTCTTGGTGTCAATGTGTACCTTCAATGTCTGGACACAAAGCAGAGGTAAGCATATTATTAAAAAAATACTGTGGTTAAAAAACAATAGGCCAGCAAATTATCCCATCAGAAGAGTGATGATACATTCTGGAAGCCCAGTTTTTAGTGATAAATGTGCTTATTTTAGTTGAATAACTATTTACAACCCATCATTTCAGCAACAAAAGGGAATGGTTAATTTGTACAAAAGTTGCACTTCTCAGTCTGGGCAGGAAAAAATGAATAATTCATTTATTTAAAAGCACAATCAAACACAGAGGACAAACCAAACTTGGAGAAATAAATGGGTTGTGACAGTACATAATATTTATCATCTTTAAAAACAAGCATACATTCTGAAAGCAGTAATACCTTTTTACTAGTATATATTTCTATTGTGCAGCATACGTTAAAGACAAGGAGTCCTCAAGAATATATCCTTTCTCAGCAAACACTATATTGTGATAAAAATTTAGCAGTCCTGATGTAGGGAACAGCTGGCAGAGAGTAACTGTTTAATGGGGAATTATGTTCTGCAGACACTCCTCGCGAAAGAAAAGCAGGACTTGACTCAACATTTCCTATTATGAACCTGCCGGTAAATTAGTGAGTTTCTAAAATTCTGACTTTCTTTTCACTGAATTCAGTCCCACAGGTCCAACAGCTTTCAGGGAAAATTCAATCCTAGACATGCAAAGGGACAAACTTCCTCATGTAGGCTGGGAATAACCCCATGAAGTCAGTGGGCCCAATGAAAGTATATAGACACCATTAAGCCTCTCACATTAGTTCCTCAGACAGTATTATTTACTTTTCATCATATGCCTTGAGTTTTATGGGCATTAGTCATGTAACTTTATAAGAAAAACAGATAGTCCCTCATCAAAAGTAATTTCTGGTTATATACACAGTCACTTTGCTTGAAGTAGTCTTTTATCAGTGTTCTACAACTGTCCTTATTGACTGCTTTAATAAACTAGTACGTTGTCCATTACACTGGAAAAATACTCATTAAAAGTGCCTGTAAGTATTATATCCAAGTCTGAAAAATAGAACTGAATTTACATTCCCTCTGTGTTGGTTTCTTGCATACCATCTAACAAATAGATCTAGCTCTACTCTTCATTACATCCTATCTTGGTGTAACTGAGCTAATTTAATTAGTTAATTAACATCTGATAGTATTTATATAGTGTTAAACATTAATTTTTCCTCAGAGTACCCAGTGAGTCTGAACAAGAGACCAGACTCGCTGAAACAGGAAGTCCCTAGGGACATATAGGACAATACCTGCAAAAACTTACAGATTTCTAGTTCCTGCTAGGTCACTGAATCCCAATGGTTTCAGTCAAAGCTGGTAGTTCAAACACTGCTATGTTTGGTGCTAAATCAGCTGCAAGAACATGTAAACTTTCACTACTGTCAACCAAGCTGTCTCAGCCCACTGCCTGTAAACCTGTTCCAGTAATTGTATACATGCATGCTTGCATAACTTCTATGTGTGTATCTATCTATATATATGTGTGTGTGTGTGCATAAACACATACACATGCAGAAGTGTTTAAATATGGATTGATGTGCCTGTCTGTTACTTTCATAATCTTGACCTATGATATGATGTATGCGTGAGACACGGGACTGACATGGATACACAACAGTAAGGCTTAATTTTTAAAAAGTTCCATCTGTGAGTAATATTGTGTCCAAAATGACAAAAGTTTGCATGGTTCATCTATTTAGTAAAGGTATTGGTAGGACCAATCACGGAGTAGTGTATTTTTAGAAAATAGTGCACTGAACTTACAGTGAGCTGACTCAAAACTTGTAAAGAAAGCCCTACCATCTTTCAGCCAGTTCACCATTTTTCACAGTATGCCTTGAGGTATTGCAGCTGCTTTGAATACATCCTACATCATCCCCCCAAAAAAAAAACCACAAAAAAACCCAAACAAACAAAAAAAATCCAAAACCAAAACAAAACCAAACCAAAAAAAAAAAAACACAAAAAAACAAAACGAAAAAAAACCCAAACCAGCTGTCATTAACTTATGGTTGATAGACATTTTAAGCAAACTGTTGAAATCACAAGGTGCTTCTGGATGTCTGTAGTATATGACAGAAGTTTGACAAGGAACCCCTGCAAGTGTCAGGCCCCCAAAGCAATGAAGCAGAAAATAAAAGTGCTCCCAAACATGTTTAAAATTATTCATCTCACTGTTTCACTTTGAAACAAGGAACAAAAATGGAAGCATTCCTATTCCCTATTGAAAGTAATCACAGTTTTATATCCTGCAGTATTTACATAGATAGAGCTGTTTATTTAGAATCCTTGGTGATAAGGACACGGCAAGCTCATAACTTATTATATATTCTCTTTTCATTTTGTCTTTTTTGGGGCAAGAATTATGTATATTTTATGATAACCCAAAATGACTTATACATAAAAAATACAGACTTTAAAGATAAAAAGGATTAGTAGCAGGTAATGCATTTTCCATGAGTGGCTATAGGGCTCTCAGTTCCAGAATGTACAGGCTGCATACAAATGAATTGATAAAAGTCTGAGGCTGTGGATGGGTAGAAAGGCTCATGCTTTGGTGGAGATGATTCTTAAAGTTACAATAAATCAGACAGACAGTGTCGGCCTTTGAGGATAAACCTGTGATGGCTTGTTGTGCCTCTTTGAATCGCCTCAGAGGCCGAGGGACTAAAAAGTGCCTAGATGTCACATTAAATCTACCGGGAGGATGGAGCACTTCAAAGAGGAATGCAATCAGATCTGATAGAAAATACATTTTCTGAAAGCTACTGACAAAAAAGTAATCTTTGATGTGGATGTTGAATAACAATTGATATTGTCTTTCCTGACATTTTTCATTATTGCTGTCTTATACAGCCTACTTCATGTATTAAAGCAATATTAACTGTTTGACAGGGATAAATCCTCGAACTATCACATAAGCAATTGTTTCTGAATTGTCTTAGCCCACTGCCTGTAAAACCTGTCCCAATAACTGCTTTTAAATATGATGGCATACTCTTTTCCTTGACTACCTAGACAGTGTCTGAGCCTTGGCATAATACAATAGAGTCTAGGGGATATTAAAAATGGTTGGGTGGTTATGAGGTGTCATTTGATTATAAGCAAGGTGCAGCAGTGTTTTCTGAAGGTGACTTTTAATGAGAAAGGTTAATAAAAATTAGTCCTTATTACTCCAAAACTACAATACATATTTATACCAGGTATATCTACCCAGAAATTTTGAATCTCCTGCAACTCTTGCAGCTTAAAAGAAGAAAAAAGAAATATACAGGAGATATTTGTTATTTATGCAAATAAATAAAGCAATCTGCAGCAGTACAAAGTGCTATGAATATGATGCAGACAAATCACCCAGTTTTTACTGGAGCGAAATCCATGCAAATCTAAGAGCTACATGTCATTTCAAAGGGCTGGATCTCTCCTAAGCTTTGATATCTTAACCCCCTAATATAACAATGTGCTGCTTTACCAAAGATCTTTATAAATCTAGAGCCCCTAATTCCTAGATGACCTTGAGCTACTAAGCAAGTAGGTGGGAAGGCAGCCATAGCTCTAAT